CATTTGTGTGTGTTTGACAGAATGTGTGTGAGTGTGAGTGAGTGGGCGGGCATGATGCAGCATCCGTGCCCGCAGGCCTGATGAGGTGGCCTCTGTGACGTCTTGAGTCAGAAGCCATAAAAGCTTAAACACATTTCAGCTACTTTTCAAGGACACGGCCGTTAAACCGCCATAGCGTGGTGAAGACCAGCTGCGGCGACGCCGCCGGCATATTCAGCCTCACTCTGACGGCGACTGTGAGCATCACTCTTTTTGAGCTTTTGGAAAAAACTTAAAACAACATCCCCTTCACTTGGCTTTCCCTTGTCACTGTCAGGCATCATAGCACATGAAGACTGAAGCACTAAATTAAACTTTATTTCCCACCTGCTTTTCATTTGCCTTGCAAAGAGATGTTTTAAGTTTCCTCTTGTCTTACAATAGACTGTTTAAAGGGGCTATATGTAAGTTTTTCAATGAAATTAATCAAATTGTCATTGCCTTATTGTCAATGGGCTCAAAACTCACTTGTAAATGAAGCACACGCCTGTTTTCTCCGTTGCTTCCATCAGCCACTATTCTGCTTTTAATGCGAGGTCTCCGGGTCAGATTCAGCCCTGTGAGCGCTCCCAAGCCTCTCAGACTACAGCGACAACACGGCAGCTAACACCATAAAACAACCGGCTCCCAGCAAAACACAGGCTCCACGTAAGGATCCAAAACTACAATAAAGGTTTATGTGCTGAAGCCCATCAGCCCAAACGGGTTCAGATGATGTGGAGTAAGAACAAAGTGAGCGTTAGTAAAGCTGGAGAAACACACAGAAAGTCACGTTAGCTAACGCCCAGCAGTTGCTAATGTTATCCAGAAAGTTATATCGCTTTCCACATTACTTCACCAACTAACGCGACCCGTGTTACTATCCTGTGTACCGCTGTTGATTTAGCCTGAAAGGATGTAACGGTAAAAAGCAAATGTGGAGCGATTTGTTTACTCACGTTAGCTTATAGTGACGCAGCCAGCTAAAGCTACAGTAGCTTTATAACGTTCAGTTTGGGTTTATTGCCTTTCTCGCAGCTTCTCCAGCTCTTAGCCGCTGTAACTAACGTGACCCACATGACATACAACCCAGAGGAAGAGCCACCCGCTGACACTACAGTAAAGTTACTGGCTGCGGTCTGACTGTTATAAAGTGTGACACAGTCTCGTTATAATATTCAGTCCAGCTCACTACCCGTTTCATTATCATCCAGTACATGTAGCTGTGCTGACATTACACATGATATACAGATAGTAAAGATGGTTACTGAAAGCAGCAGGCGAGCTAACGATGTAGCAGGTCTGCTAAATGCAGTAAATGGACCGTGATCATGTAACGAGCGTGGATTAGTTGCGCCGGTGTTGATCTGCCTCTGAGACGGGAACGTTGAAGTAACGTTCCATAATGCCCCTTTAATTTCTGGCACCCTTCCCAAATCACTCACTTGTGTCATGAACAAATGCTGTTCTGTACCTCTATTCATTTAGCTGACGCTTTTATCCAAAGCGACTTACAATTGCTATACAGAGGTCACACGCAACTAGGGTTAAGTGTCTTGCTCAGGGACACAGTGGGGGATTGAACCAGGGTCTCTCACACCAAAGGCATGCGTCTTATCCATTGCGCCATCGCCGCCACCCCACTTTTTAATTCAAAAAGTCAAACTTTCATATATTCTAGATTCATTACACATAAAATTAAATATTTCAAGCCTTTTTGGGGGGTTTAATCTTGATGATTACAGCTTACAGCTCATGGAAATCAAAACTCCAGTATCTCAAAATGTATTAGCATGTTACAAGAAAGAATTTAAAACACAAATGTCGACCTGAGAAGAGCTCTGATCAGCTTATTCACTCAGCCTTTAATCTCTCAGTCTGGTTCTGGTGCTCACAGTGAACTTTTCCATGATATTCAAATTTTTTGAGATGCACCTGTACGGGCTGCTCTACCTTATTGTTGGGCTTTACTGTGGCTGAAGGCAAGGCTGTCTGCAAAGAGTACCTCTGTATCTTTTTAAGGTAAAACAAACAAAAAACATATATATTATATATACAATATCTATTTACATTTATTAGACAAAAAGCATGTTAACATATTTAGCATGTTACAGAGAGAAATGCTTAAAAATGAATATATATTCTGAAAACAAACCTACACTCTTGAATATAACAGCTACTTTGGGCCCTAACACATCTTTGTGTCCCTACTGGAGTTTGGATTTAAATACAGAGTGGGTGTCTGAGTCCTTGTTTCCTTCAGGAGTCCGGCTGGTGAAACAGAAACCTTTGCTCCAGCAGATGTTGTTACCAGAAAACACCTGGATTATTTAAATAGGATCAGATTAGTTTAAACAGATTTCCCAACCCCTTTTGCACCCATAACCTGTTATTATGTGCTTTGATCACCGCAGTTGAAAGTAAATGAGGTCCTGCTGTGATGTTGACGGCTCAGAAAAGGCCTCTGGTCACAGAAACTGAAGACAGAACTGCTGCTGCTGTGTTGTTCATTTTCTTTTCTTCCTTTAAATAAAAGCCAAAATGAATGAGGCAGGACGGACAGAACAACACTCTTCTGCGTGGCCTCTGCGTACATCAGACTTTTAACCCATGCACAGTAATGTGAGCGCATCTCCGGTCCCGCAGATCAAAGGGTAATTGGAGAAATATCTAGTGGGGGGATTTGCAACTTTAAGAGTTTCTCAGAGATTCTCCTGAGGAATGGATTTTAATTTTTACTGGCCATTAGTGACGACCCTGATGGACGGAGATCAAATAATCCCCGACCTCTCACAGACTTTCTGTAATTACCGCAAACACCTTTTCATTTTGCAGCAAACAGAGAAAATCCGCTTTCATCTCCCACATTTATTCTCGTCTTCTTACATAGATTAGCGCCGGCTCTGAGAGTAACGTTTTAAGCTGCAGCTCCGTATTTTAAAGACGCATCTTTTATCATCCACCTTTTTAAAATGAAGTTTCTCTCTCTCTCTCTCGTTTACTTACTTTATTTCTGAGCCCTTCCAGAGTTCAGTCAGTTCACTTCCTCTTGTGAATGCCGATATAGTGCTGGAACATAAATCATTGAGGGCATATATACTGTAGCTGTCATTAATTCATCCCATCATTAATTCATCCCCTCACTCATTATGACTTCACTTATTCCAACTCATGAGGCCTTTCGCATCAACCAGCAGCGATGGTGGAGACTTTGAGTCAGGATCTGAATGTTTCCATCCTTCAACTGTTGTTGTGTCGCCAAATTTAAGTTCTGATGTTTGTCGAGCCAGAACGTAACCATCTACAGTTTATATGTGATCGGAAACCCGTTGGCGGGCCGCTGATGTCTCGATGGAGTTGTAAACTGGATATAGACGGACTTTTGGTCTGTGAGATATTTGTTGCTGCCACATTAGTCTGTCTGAAAGTAAAGGTTTATCTTTTTCTTTTTACAGCCCTGTCTCCGGACTTCTGTGTCCTTAAGCCCCCCGACATACTTGTTTACTACTTTTTTAACAATGCGTAGGCGTAGACGGGTGTCGGCGACGCAAGCGGTATTGTTCACATACTTGCCTGCATACTTTGTGTGTACCTGGAGGATTAAACGTGAATCCATGAGGTGGCAGATCAGGACCGGATCATCTTTAGTGGTGGTTTGCCACCACCTGGGCTGGTGTGTGGAACAGAAGTTTGTTGCAGACCTGATGGTCAGATCTTCATACTGTCCCCATGTTCATGTGCTGAATTTATCGAAAGAAAAAGTACTCATAGACGCCTGGTCGAGCGTCTGATTGCATCAAAAGCGCCTAAAAACAGCCCTAAACTCCATCTAGCTGACAAGACATGACGGTCTGAAGCCTTAAAAAGAGGAACACTAAAGGAAGAGCACCTTCTTTTCGCCTGTTTGGACACTTCCAACACAGGTTTGCGCTGCCTGTTTGGTTGGCCTGTCTACACGTTTGTAACGTGCATTTTGTCTGACTCGAAACGCATGTTTTCAACGCCGTTTTTGTCATGAAAAAACGCATGTGCGTTTTGATGGCTAATCGCACATCAAAGACTCAACGTGCGTTTTAGGGGAATCCACAGCGCACGTCTGGAACACGCGTTTTAATGGCAAATGACACTTGAAAGACGCGCGTTTTGCTGTCAAATCACGCGCTTTTGACGTGCCAGTGTGCAATCTGACGCTCGACCAGGCGTCTGAGTACTTTTGACTTGCGATATGAATTGCATCTCGCAGACGCATAGTGCTAATTTCTGAAGACGTGCACAACCAACGCTCCAAAGGAACGCAAGATACGCGTGGCAGCCATCTCGGGTACACGTAGTTAAAAGCGAGTATATCCGGGTCGCCGCTCATGTACATACAGATGAATACAAACAGACCAGAAGCAGGTGTGTTGAAGTAGTTTATCTTGGCGGTCTCTGTATTGAGAGCTTTTTCCCAGCATGCACTGGGGGGAAAGAACTGTTTACTGTTGTTTTTTTTCCCTGAACTGAGCGTCCCAGGTGTAAAACTCTCTAGACGTGGTTAAGTTTAGAAATAGGTGCATCATATTTAGTGATGGTGCTTGCTTTAGTTATTTATGTGCTGTTTTAGGAGGGAGGGTGGGATGGGTTTGATCTTCGTGTCCATCTGCAGCGCTGCATTCAAACATATCTCATGGGCACCCATCAGAGGTTTTTAACTAATTCACTAGTTCTCATCATTTTAGGCTCATGAAATGTAAACATGAAACCATTCCTCCACTCTTGACTCCAGATGCACGGGGGCATGCAGGCTGAATAGTTTATTTTGTGGTTCTCTCAGATATAAATCACTCAAATACAACAGTTTCTTTAGGCCTGAACATGCGGCCAACTCATCCTTCTGTCTGTGTTCAGTGCTGTGACAGAAGGAAGCCTCACATTTATTTCTTTTTACTTTATTTAATTACTCCATCCCAACCCGTCATCTCTTTTTCACTCTCTCCCCGCAGATCCCTCAGATCAGCTACGCTTCCACCGCCCCGGAGCTAAGCGATGATCGGAGGTACGACTTCTTCTCTCGGGTGGTCCCTCCGGACAGTTTCCAGGCCCAGGCGATGGTGGATATTGTCAAGGCCATGGGCTGGAACTACGTCTCCACTGTGGCCTCAGAGGGCAGCTATGGGGAGAAGGGGGTGGACGCCTTCATGCAGCTCTCCAGGGAAGCAGGTAAGACCGGGTGGTCCGAACACGAGCAGACAGTTTCTGTAGAATCGGTGGATCAGAGTCTGTTATGGAACTTTAGCAGGGGTGACGTTTCACCTTAAACAAGGACAAGGAAAGCTCAGGATGTTTTTGTGTAAGTTCCTTAGGGTATATTCCCTGAAGAGGTGGACCCGGTCCGGTTCCAAACAATCTCTGGGACGTTCCATTAGGTTGTGAACGTAGCCCGACCTCACTTGCAAAAAACACTGCGCCTTTTTTAGTTGGAGTTAACAGGCTGTCTCAGTCAGTGCAGACTTTCTTTAATTACACTGATAAGTGCCTCACATGACAAATCTGGAGACACTGTGTGCCTAGGCACAGTGTGATGGGTCAGATTGTTATTATGTAATTAGGGGTGATGTTGAGATGGCTAAACATGACTCATTAGTGATAGAACTGCACATTGCAGTAAGCAGGAATGTTAGCAGTAATAATCTCTGATATATTAGCCGTCCTCTGTGCCGTGCCACTGTCAGCACGCACATCGGAGCGTGCTCTCTCCGCCGCAGCTCATTTACAGTGCTATAGTTTTGGTTTGTGAATCTGTCCAGTGAATGGATGACCTTCAGCACTGCTAACATGGTGATTTTGTTTACAAATTCTGGTTCACTTTGCAAAAAAGGCAGCGTGAAAGCCGCCCGAAGAGGAGGGTCTGAGCCGGCTTCCGATCTGGCTCTGATGCAGATCGTTTGTGGTCTGAAAGCAAAGCAGGGCTGCATCACATCAAAAGCTAAACTACCATTGAATCAATCTGCACATTTGTGAACTGTGTAACTCTGTCTGTGAAGGTTCTCAGTCATCCAAGGAAGGGTAAAGTCGAGGGCAACTGGACTGGTTGAAGATACTCGAATACGTTTTGTCCCTCATCTGAGAGGCTTCTTCAGTTCTGACTGACTGGAAGGGAAACAAAGCTATTTACCCTCTGTGGAGCTGCTGTCAAGATGATCGATACCACTGGTTCATCGGCGCTCCTGGCGTTATGGTCGTTAGAGACAACCGAGGCTGAATCTGAATGACCATGGTTGGCGTTCTCCCCTGAGGCCAAAAGCGAACGTTCTGTGTGAGCAACACGTAGCCTGTATTTATACATTTAGTTACCACAGTACAACGTAGAAGCATCACCACATGAGTACAGGGATTTTCCCTGGTTAATGATGCGCATATCCTGCCGCGTGTTTCAGTAGTTCCTTACTGAGTGACAAACTTGCGACCTGTAATATTACTGCACAAAATACCTCTTTCTGATGTACGAGCCCCAGTTTTAGTCTCAACGGTTTCTTAGAAGCTCTTTGTGACTCAAGAAAAGATCAGTGAGGTTCACTAACGAGCAGACTGACATCACAAGAACTGTCCAATCAAAGAGTTCAACGGTTCTTTTCCCTCCTTATATTTTATTGATCCAGAGGGGAAACGTGTTAGCGCTCTGCTTTTAACCCATCCTAATTAGGAGCAGTGGGCAGCCATTGGGGAGCAGTAAGGGGTTCAGGGGCTTTGGCAGTGGTCTGTGCCGGACTCGAACCGGTCGAAGGTCCCCACCGACTGAGCTAATATCACTTCATTTTTACAGCTCTTTGGTGGTTTGCTGAGTGTAACTGAGTGACTCTGTGGCCACAATTTGTCCTGTTTACGTCCCCTAAAGCGTCATGGGAACTGCTTTTCCAAAACTTAAAGCTTTACTATCCTCCAAACAGAATTAAGACCGCAATAACAATAAAAACAATAGGAGTAACAAAATCCATGCATATTTCATTTTTCGTACAGATCAGATACAAACGGTTGAGTCCCTGAAGCTTGAAAGGAATTAATTAGAGTATACAGTGATGCTGAGTTGCTCTCTGAATAATCTCAGTGACATTTAGTGCGATCTGATGACTCTTCACAACCCACCAGTTAGGATGTGTCCTGACATTTATGTGCAGGAGTTTTGGGGGGATTATTAAAGGACACAGTGCTGCCAGGGTGCACACAGGACACCCTGAAGGCTTTCTAACTGTGCTAACACCGAACAGTTGCCCAGTATTTCCACATGGATAAGACCTTGATCATTGATCTGTGGTGGGTTTTGAACAATGATTTGATAAAAATGAATTGCACAGCGGTCCTTCACAGTGTCACCACAAGCAGTATTCAAACTCTTTATCCTCGCAACAGGTTCAGTTTGAAAGGATTTTCAGGGAGAAGGTTTCAGGGTGGCCTTAACCACCGGCTGTGTTCTCGGTTTTCAAGATAATGAGCAGATAAATCAATGCCCAGAATTGTGAGCGCGCGCAAGAAGAACATTATGGTGCAAATATGGAGAGAAACGTTTGCACGCTGTTTTCAGGATCATCGCAGAATTCATAGATTTTGTTTTATCAGTTTGTTCTCCAAGATAGTGGTTTTATTAGGCTGCACTGTTTCAATTACTAAATCATTTTTAATATTTAAAGTCTAGTTTTAATGTTCTAATGCAGGGGTCACAAACCTTTTTGAGCTACCTAAATAATAGACAGTAATATGGGGGGTTTTCTTGTTAGATTTATGGTATTCAGGAAGATTATATCAACTTGGTTTGCCTTTAAATAATGGATATTATGCATTTAATAGGCTATATTGAGGCTGGACAATAAAACAACAACAGTAATTATCACAATATGATTTTTGTCTAACAATATAACAAATTTTCACCTATTTTATTCACCTGAATCATGAATTATGACTTTTTTTTTTTTTATTAAGATGTTTACTTTGCCGAAAGGAAAAGGACTGAAAAAAGATTTTACTTAATTTTACTCGTGCAAATTTGTTGACAAAGATTTTATCATAAATGTTTTGAATGTTCTACCACAATTAACCATCAGGTTTCTTGAAATTTCACTCAGGAGCAAAACTCAGCCTTTAAACTCAAAAGAAATAATGATTTGATACTTGTCGTGATAAATATTCATATCGAAAGATTATATATCTATCATTTTTGGTCATATCGTCCAGCCCTAGGCTATATATTAGGAGACCGCCTGTCTATGTTCACTGATCACTATCATTGTTGATCTTTTACAATTGCAGGAAAACACAGATATACGGTGTATTCTCTACCTTTAATGAGCTACCTGGCTGTTAGTTAGCATCAAAGGTCTTGTGGTATGTACTGAAGTGTGTTAAAAACTGTTAGTAGCGTAGTTAGCGCATCATCGGAGCTGTGCTAGGTAGATGGTAATGTGTGACATTACGCATACATCACAAATTGGTCTTTTTAAATGTTACATGCACTGTTAAACTAGTTATTTTCTACTTTCATGTTATTGTGGGGGAAGAAATCAAATTTCAGCTATTTTTAGACCGAGATTTACCAGTTTACTCCTTAAACTTTTTGAACTTGACCTGCGGGCTACTCATTGGCTCCCTGATGGACTCCAGGCCCTCACAGGCACCGAGTAGGCCACCCCTGTTGTAATGGATCAATGGCCCAACTTTAAATTGCCACTTCACTTTTCTGCACCAAATAAATTGAAGGTGACTAGAATTTAAAGACAAAGTCTCATCAGAAAAACGAGACAGAAGGGGTGATAAGTTCAAGGCCGGGGGCTGAATTTACAAAGGAGCTTCTCTCACCACAGGGAGGCCTCGCAGAGGCAGCTGAAAGTCCTTCAGACCTGCTGAGAGCAACTTTTACAGAGAAAAATACCGACTTGTCTAGTAGATTGTATCTAAACACCTTCCGCATGTTGATACAGGGAGATTTTGTCCAGGTGACCAAGCAAATCTTCATCCTCCTGTGGTGAATATGTTTGTATTTCTTGCAGCTGGTGATATTTCATGTGCTGTCAAACTGGTCCACAGAGAGCACGAAGAAATCTGACAGATGGCTTCAGTTCCAGGTTCATCACAGTTTCTACACAGTGTCAGGGGAGTTGTGCAAATCATTGTCTCCGGTGTTTGACTCACCCGTCATTAAAATATGCTTATAAAAGCTGAATATCATTCACTCTGATGCAACAAGCTTCATTACCTGCAGAGAGAGTCCTCTGGACCTCTAACTTTTCTTAGACCTCTGCATCAAATCTACACCGTAGCCTGACAGGCACCTCCCCAAAAATATAACTACACATGGCAGCAACGCAGACCGCAAGAACTGCGATTGGTCTGCTTGGTAGCGTCGCATTTCCGGCTTGTCTTTCTACTTCTGCTTCCACCGGGGTCGCACATACCGTCTCCTCCAACGCAGTTTCTGCGAGTAAGTACCTGCTGTTCAACGTCGATAAACTCCAACTCCAATATGATCCGCTCACTTTCAGTCACCGTTTTTTGTAGCAGCCTGCACCAACAAAGAAGAAGAAACTCAACACAGTGGAGCATAGAAACCCCACCCACAACAAACGTTTTAGTGGTGTTACTGCAGAGCGACACAGACACCAACACACAAATAAATACTCAGAACAGCATGTAGACTCGACACAGAAGTATGAATTGGCCTGTAAGAGCCACTTTCAGTGTTAATTAGTTTCATTAATTACTCTGAGGCCGAACGCTTTTAGTTCCCCTCACACAGTGTAAAGAGATGAAACACTCAGTCACCGTACAGTATCTCTGCGGGCACATCGCTAAAAGCTGCCGTAAGGCAGGAAGGAATGGGCTGAGATTCAGAAATAAATGCTAAATCCAGGAGGACGGTGTTATTAAGAGAGTCTGGGCATTGTGCAGATGTTGTAATTGCTCCTAAATCCTCTTATTTCTGATTTAATCAATCCCAGAATACATACCACACCTTCTTAGTTGACTATTCAGCTGATAAATATCTGATAAAAGAGCCCTGTGTGAGGAATGTGCTCAGGTCTTTCTGGGTTATCTGCAGATTTGAGAGTAATCCACCATGTATTGATTGCGGGAGGTTCCTACTATCGGTCGACAGACACACATCAAACCCCCCCTCTCTCTCTCTCTCACACACACATCCACACCAACACACCGCGCTGGTAATATAATTA